CCCCAAAACCCCAAAACCCCAAAACCCCAAAACCCCAAGAGAAAAGATAAAAATAAAATATGCGGGAAATGAATATAATTAAATAAATATATAAATATCGGCAATATATAAAATGTAAGAACATATTTTTACTTGATCAATCTGATTATAACATTATATTACTTTGATAGGAGCAACAAAACTTTGATAGAAGACGCTCATAAGTAGCCACTCAAGAACTTATTGAACGAACTCAAGCAAGACCCAAATGCATATCCATTCCTCGAACCAGTATAATGGGAAGGTAAGAAATTCTCAAACCCCATATTTATGAATTACCACAATAGCTCTCGGACTGAATGACTACCCCTAAGTTATAAAGAAACCGATGGATCTCTCAACAGTCAGAGTAAGACTTTTAAAGTTATTATAATTCACTCCCAATAGAAAAACCTTGAGAAGGGTAGATTCAAGTACTTCGAGGAATTCTTTTCAGATGTCTAGTTGATTTGGAGCAACTGCAAGAACTATAATGTGTCAGGCAGTGATATCTATCGTTTAGCTGAAAACATGGAGAGAAGATCCAAGAAACTGATAAGGGATCTTAAGGAGCAACTCAAGATTGAGAATCCCTCAGAGTTCAAGAACGGCAAAGCCGGAGGATCAGGGGATTCTAGTGAGGATGACGAGGAGAGAAAAGACTCAAAGAAAAAAGAAGTCAATGGAGGAAGCAGAAAAGGAGGTTTGATGGATGAGGACGATGACGACTTTGGCTATGACCCCGAAAGATATGTGCCATTTGATGAGAAAGTAGAGTTTGCAGATCTAATGAAGAGAGCTACTAAGGATGGCCTCACAAATATAGTTAACTACCTGCTTGAGAAGCAACCTGAGGCCGTTGAGGATTATGGCAATGACAGACTCTAGATCAAAGTAGACATGATTGAGAAGTAGGCATTCCAGTATTGCAAGGACGTGCTCAACCAGAACTTGAAGGAGGCACCAAATAAGAGACAAAAGACCCAAAAATGAGGTGATGAAACTAGGATAAGAATGAATATGTAAATTTGAAATACTTAGATTTAATTTCCCTGCAGAAAGAAGTATTTATTGTTATTATAATTATTTGGAATTTAACTCTAAGCTGCATAAAAATGATACCTGGGGTTTTGGGGTTTTGGGGTTTTGGGGTTTTGGGG